TAAAGTAGAAAATCCCATAATTTGGAAAAAAATAAAACTATAAAATATATTATTATAGTAGGAAAATAATCAATATAACCAAAATTGAATAAACTTATCATTAAAGCAGCTTACACTATTTTGTTACTATTAATTTGCTTATTACTTAAGCATACATGTACTAAGAGAAAGTTCTTCCAGCAGAGGACATCCATTTTCTAAGACTTCAGCTTCATTTCTGTGTGTTGGCAATGGAATGTAGAATAGAGAAACCTCATAAGTGCAGTAGCTATAAATATCCTCAACTTTGCATTTTAAATGGAGGATATAAAAGGAGACTGAGTAACTTTACCTCACATCAATATTCAAATACACATAAAAATAATATCATATCTTCTATTGAGTCTCTAAGTAATCTGTCTTCATTCCTAGGACTCCACCCACTTGCTCTAAAGAAAAGAAAAAAAGGTTCATTGAACATAAAACTTACTCCTCTGGTCACTAAAACAGTCCCAAGAAGAGAGATATCACCTGGATCAGGCTCTCTACCCATTGATGTGCACAGGAAGAAGATAGAAATATGGTCTTGTCTTAGAAAACCAAACAAGAAGCCAGAAATGGGTTCCTGCACTCTTCTCCCTCCCTCCCTCCCTCCCCCTCCTTCCTCTTATCTAGCACATGTCTCCTTTCTGCATCAAAACTTCATGATAAAACAGGGAAAATCCCTTAATTCTTCCTCCACTTGCTTCTCTTTCCACTTCTAATGCCAGGATAACAGGTGAGATTTTCCTTCTTTTCCTTTCTGTCATACCCTCTTAACTACCTTGTAAGCATCAAAGACAAAAGACATATCTTTTCCCCCTATGAGACAATGCTAAGAGTTGTGTCCTGGATTCTTTCCCAATATGCTGGATAGGGGGAAGGAGAAAAAGGAACCATGGGAAATCTCTCCAGGTTGTATCCTTGCTGGAGAATTCCATTTTGATTAGCAAACCATGAACATCACCTCATTCTTTTCTGCCTCAAATCTTGTAATTCTACTCCAGTCTGTAATTCTTCTCTACTCTCCACTCTACCTGGCAGAGGAATAAATGCCACTGGCTTTCCAGGATGATGTCTATCTTAAAGGATAAAAAGAGGTAGACACTAAGGTTTTTCAGAACAAAAAAAAAGTTCCTGACGGTTAAATGCAAGGGATGCAGTGCATCCACTGGGACGTTGGTATCTCCCAATAACTTTACTTTTGACATGAAGTTTACATATTTGAGGCCACACTATTTTTCTATCTTGGACCTTTCCCCCACCCCTGTACTCATCAAAACTAAAATATTCTTCAGTGTAATGTTTTATTTTTAGCAACGTTTTCCATAGATTCCTTAATACACATTTGGAAATATTTATTTCTCTTTACCACTTAGTATCTACTACTTTTAACAAGTTTGAGCTTGAGTATTCTGCTCCTTACTGTTGCAGCTGTTTTGAGTTAGAAATAGAAATAAAAGGGGCTGAAGATAGGAAGCTATGTGACAGGAACATGGATCCTTTTTTGACTCACCCAGTTAAACTCCCTCAAAGTGGCCCTTCATGCTCCAGAGACACCTCCCCACTATACCTGTTATCCTTCATTCCATTAACAGAGTCTTCTACTTTTGAGTACAATTTAGTGACTCATGCCACAAAATTTGTCTAATTCCAAAAATATATTCACAATTTTTGGATTTTTTTTTATAGTAGTGGTGGTGGTTTGTGCAGTTCTGGAGACTGAATTCAATGGGGCTCTATCACTGAGCTATACCCCTAGACCTTTGCATTTTTAATTTTGAGGCAGACTCTCCATCCTCTTGTTTCAGTCTCCCAAGTAGCTGGGATTACAAGTATGAGCCAAGACAGTTTTTTGAGAACACTCTTCTTTCTTTGCCAAATCAATGTAGAATCTCAAGGCTTAGTCCAAATTTAATATCTTAATAAAGTAG